CTCACGCCGGGTGCATGTGCGTGCGTGCCCAAGATCCCAAGAGGAGAATGGAGGAGAAGGGATTGCGGCATGACCATCCCCTCTGGGGGGTGATTTCTCGCTTTCTGTCTCTCTTTTTCTGGCGAGCGCAGGTAACCTATAGGGAAAACCTCTTCAAAACAAACAAACAAACAAACAAACAAACAAACAAAAAACCTCCCTGTGTGTCCCTCTCACAAGGACACATGGGATAACATTGAGGGCCCACCTGGGTGGTCCAGGATAATCTCTTTCTCTCCAGATTCTTATCTTCATCACATCTGCAAAGTCCTTTTTTGCTATTCAAGTTAACATTTATAGGTGACTATGGAATTAAGACTCTGGATGTCTTGGAAGAGGTCGGTGTTTAGTCCACTGCAGGGTGAGGTGAGGAAGCCTCACAGGGGATTCCTCATCAAGGCAAGTGCATTCCAACAAAATACAATGTCACCAGGTACAGTAAACAGGGTGCCCCGAAGGGCCTTGAAAGAGAGGGCTTCATGGTCACCCTGCTTCTTCCTGTGTTTCTGGCCTGTCCTTGTAACTAGATTATGACTAGGAACTCTCATTCCCTGCTACAGAGAATGCAAAATGGTACATTCCCTTGGAAGACAGTTGAGCAGTTTCTTACCAGAGGTATCAGAAAAGGCAGGCAGGAAGGAACCTCTGTGCCATGGACCAGTCAGAGGTGCTAAGACACAAAGGACTCGAAACTAGACAGAATAGGTCCAGATATGGCTTTTAGAAGACTCCTCCTGGCTGCATTGTGGACAATGGATGGCAGGGAGGGAGACTAGGGGAACAGGAAGTCCAATTAGCAGCCTGCCTCCAGAGCTCAGATGAGAAGTGGGGGCAGTGTGGATAGTTCATTACAACGCAGTCTAAAGAAACTCTATTCATAGCTACAAATGTTGGAGACAGCCTGAAATAGGGCCATGCTTTTTAGGTTGTTGGATGGGTTGTGCTATTCTCACCACTAATCTCCTTCACTCTTGTAGATAATTGAGTTGTCTGCAAAACTAACCCAAACCGCGTTAAAACTATAATCCCATATGTGAAAAAGAAGGAAGAAAAATTTCCAGTGGGGAACAGATTTTTAATGTGTTATCTTGGTTATTGTGTGCTACAAGGTTATTGCATTCCTATCCCAAGAAAGTCTCAAGACACTGGATCCAAATCTGGTGATTTAAAAGCCAACAGAAAAGGTCAGAGTTATGTAACACAGTCTACCATAGCTATTCGACAGGCTGTTCTGTGCCAATTTTTAATCAACCTTAAAACCTGGGCAGAAAAAACCAACATATTGCCTTCCCATACAATTAAGTACTATTACATTTTTGTCTCTTGCTAGGGAACACATTTACTTATGTAATTGTACATTCCTTATTTTTAAAAACCAAGCTCTGTTAAGGATAAGCCTTAGCTTTATTAAGAAGCCACCATGTTCTTTCCTTCTAAGAAATTTAAATTTCAGCAGAACAAATTTATGGGGAAAGTAGTGCATTTACTAACTTATCCTTTGGGAGCTTTTAACACTTTGTTAAAAGGAGAGCAACAATAGTTAAGAAAAGGCGAGATTCTAGTTAAGGAAGTTTTAAACTTGGTTCTATTACAGAACAACTTAATCTGGTACAGTGTTGGAAACAAGAACAGACGTGCGAAACACAAAGGATGCCATTGTTCGCATCTAGATCAGTAACTTTCATAGCTTGCAAGAACCTATTTATAATAATGATTTCTAAAACTCATAATTCTTTGTTTGAAAGAAGCAGGGCTGTAGGCCCAGCCCAGGGTTTAGAACGAGGTTTCCACTCTAAAGCTGGATGCTGTGAGTTCGCTTAGTTCCAACGTTTTACCTCACATTTGCCTGGGTTTCGGGAGTACATACTCCTTTTGGAAGCAATGCTTGCCTTGAATTCCAATTGTATTTTGCCAGCAACTTCTCTCCGAAGACTAAACTCTATTGTCTGTGACAGGTGCCAACCTCTGGGTGAATTTCTGCCTCAACATGGGGCGGGACCATGATGTTGACTAATCTGAT